TGAGTTCCAGCTGATGAGCCGCACGTGCAAGACGGTATTTTCCAAAAAAAAAAAAAAGGTATGGGGGTGTGGAGAATCATCATTGTAGACCTGGTGCGAGAGTAAGGCCGCGGTGGCGGCGATGGGAACTACGAGAGCCTCATAATGATCTGTTCTGGGTATGTATTGATACCCAGAAGGGGCCTTCACTGGAGAAGGTAGCGTAGTCTTGGGCTGAAAGACCGAGTCCAATTGGGAAAGGAAAAGTCTTTGACAGTTTACCTACTGCCCTCCGGCCCAGGGCTGCTTATTTGTGTGCCAGTTTCCAAGGGAGAAGGGCAGGTAGCTAAAGTCCGCTGCAGGAGGGGCTCTGAGCTCCCACGTTCTTGTGCTGGAACTGGTCGGTGAAAGCAGCTGCGCTTACAAGCACCACTTGACGGAGCTCTATCGTATCAATCTGGCCTGGACAACATGGACAATTCAGGCCCTGTGAAGGTAAGGCTCTGAAAGTGGTGGCGCCACACTTTCAGTGGACGTAATTAACCTCCGCAATTGAATCTTTCCTGGCTCCTTTACGCTGGAAGAATCGTGTGACAGTGGAATAACCTTGCGTCAGTTTGTCTAAGTTGTGGAGAATTGTGTTTAATCAGAATGCTGTGGCGTTTTGGTTCACCTTCTCCGCTTCAGCCATGCCAAGATTGTGAATTGGTGCTTCTGCCAGGGGCCACATCAGAATAGAGTCTTCAGGCTGGTGATTGTGACCACTGTCTCATTCTGTGGGCAATCTCACAGCTGAGTGGCTTCCTAAGGATGTCATGTTGTTCAAGAACCAATGCTGCATCTCCTCACATCAGAAGAAAAAAGGGCAACTTGGTTGTTGATGTTTAGAGGTACAAACTTTGGGCTTACTTGGAACCCAAGAGTTTGGCGTCAAGAAACCTCGTATAGTTCCCGTGGTAGTCCAGACTTTAACAGCTGTATCTTCTGTCAAGGGCAATTGTTCAGTGGCTCTCTCCAGCACCAGCGCTCTCAATGAACTCTCGTTAGCAACTGGCAAAATTTGGAGTACAGTGTAGATGAAGAAAGTGGATAATTTGACCAAGAAAAGTGGGACTGGCAAAAAGCGGAAGCTTCTATGAGAGCTGTACAAACAAATTTCTTCCTGATTGACAGCTGGGATTGTGGCATGAGAATACTTTAGGAACATTGTAGCTGGTAGTTGATGCAGTGAGTGTGGGGCAATAAGAAGACAATCTTCTTCGTTCTGGGAAACTTCCAAGACAAGCCTCCCTGTGATGAAACTTACCACTGACCACAAGCTTTTCAATTGCTTTACCACGTGCAGAGCGTTCGTGTTACTTTGGGCAAGGGCCACCGATTGGTGACGAATGCTTTCTCCAGCTATGGTGCGCTGGCAGCTCGACGCCCGTGGTTGCTGAGTCTGTAAGTGCTGAAAAGTTTGCGAGTTCTTGTACTTTTAATGTACAGCCGGAGTCTTAGCTTTATTGCTTGGTCAGCATGTTGGCGGAAAGCGTATGGTCAGTATGCAGTCAAAAGGTGACACCTTTGGACAGTCGCTATAGCAGTGGTTGCTTTTCGAGTAGAGCACCAACAAGTTGAACCCACAACCTGGTTGCTTTCTTTTGATTGTTGAGGTGTTTGTTCAAGACAACCATCGGTGAAGTTATGCAGGGTTAAGCTTGTAAGTTCTCTGTGGTCCTGCAAATAATAACAGCATACAAGGACTCCTGGCTGATGCACCAAGTCAAAGAGTGATAAGTAGCAAGATAAAGTGTTCTTCAATCGCAGCATTGAGTGTGCCACTCCAACTTGTGCAGGCTAGGTGCCGTCATTCTGGGTGCCTCCATCTTTGGGCTCTTCAATGCCGAGACAGAGAACAGGCTTGAGGTAATTGCTTCACCTTGCGGAGAAGGCTCGATCTTCAGCTTGCCTCCATCATGCTGTAGGGGTCTCAGAGTGCGCCAACGCACAGCACAACTGAAGCAATCTTGTGACTTAAGCTTGAGAACCATTGTTGATGATGTGAGATGTGCAAGTGTCTATTGTCGAGTTATTATGCAGCAGACAGTCCTCCCACTTGCTGACGCAAAATAATCTGTCAATGTGGGTGCGCTTATTTCTCTCTGTCTCGGTGGCCTTAGGAACTTTTTGTGAGGACGGACTCAAGGGTGGCTAAGGAGCGCGACTTCTACAACTCCAAGTAGGTGCCAAACCCTGGACATGTCAGCCATAACTACGCACTCTCGAGCGGGTGCACAAGCTGGTCATACTCTTGGCAATATGTGATGAATAATGCTGCTTTGCCAAAGCTCTGATGGTTTTTGTCAGTGGTGCTTGGAGGTCAGCAAGCCTGCTGTGCCACCTCCCTGTGATTGGGCGGCACATAAGAAGAAAAAAGGCATGGCTGAAAGTTCTGTTGTTGAGTGATTGATCGGATTCTGTCGAGAAGGAGCGTTCTGAAAAGAAAGATATCCTGGACAGTGTCTTGCAGAGAGGTAAGATGGCAGGTAATTTGCTTTGGAGCAGAGACTCGCTCACCGGATGTCCGATGGCGGCAGTCCTTTCAATCTAATGATGGTGATTCAATGATCTTGACAATGGGACTAGGATGTGTTCACTGCTCAACAGTACAGGTAGCAAGGGAGGTGAAGTGGTTCTTTGTACCCTCCCCATCTGCAGATTGGCTTCAGCCATCTTATTGGCTGTGCAGGAAGAAGCTAGACCACTTCTCAAGAATACCTGCTTTCCGCTCTTGGAACAGGCTCGGCACTACCCTTTCGTTCTCCCACCATCTTCCCGTTTCTGTTACATCAGTCTCACCTACTGCGACCATATTCGCTTACGCGGAGTACGTGTCTTACACACAAATGCGCAGAAAACGGACCCTTAAACCAACTCCCGCAGGTATGGCGGCTTCATACGGAAGGAGGTGTTTTCCGTGTCGGATCCCGCAGGAAAAGCAGCCTACTCGCGCGCCAATCTTGCGGCCCTGGCGGCGGGCATGGCGCCGTTCCTTTCGGAAGACGAGGCCGCATTCAACGGCACCGTGCGCAACCCCACGCAGACGGCCATGCTGGCAAATGTCCAGGGAAGCAGCCGAAGGATGAGCGAGGTGAGGGGAAAAAGAGTGGGTCAAGGGTCTGTCAAGAGTAACTTTACGCAGAAGGAAGAAGATACATAAGCCAATATTTGTCAAAATTGAGTTGATGCAGAAGGAAGGGGAAAATCAGCAGATAGTCCGTCAAGAGTGACTTGATGCGCGCAAAGAGAGGAGGAGAGGGAGAGACAGTGCGAGACGGTCACGTGAGCCTGTTTCAGAGAGGTATCATTTGGTGGAAATCAAAAGCCGCATAAAAACTTTCCCAGGCATCTAGTTCACGCGAGCTTCACGTGTGCTTCTGTCGACCCCAACAGCATTTCCAACCCGTCCAACAGACACGACGCTTCCCTGACGTGCGCACCACAGAGAGGCTCATCTTGATCTGTGCACGAATCTTTCAAACCCTTCACCGTCTTGAAGGAACGAATTCCAAGGATTGTCCGCTGAGCTCTGGACGCTCTACAATAAGCCCCAAAAAGTCTTGAGTCTGCCTTTGACCCCCATGATCGACCTTGTCATCACAAAACCTTCAGCCTGCTTTGTGCGCTCACAGATCACTCACGACTGACACCCCCACCTTCCACAGGAGCTTTTGGCACTTAACCATGGATGGTTACGGGCTGATTATGGCTAGTCAGAAAACGGTTACATGTCAAGTAACCAGACTTGTGCTTTCACCAGCCCCGGAACAAGGTTAAAGCCGGGTTACTTGTCCGATAACCTGAGACTCAGTCAGGTAATCAGCGTGGTTAAAAGCCAAAAGTTGCTGTGTTGCAGGCCGACTTCTGTGAGCGCCCCCAGGTCCCCCCCGTCTTCGCGCCCAGCCTCCCGGGCGTCCCCTACTTTGCGCAGGGCAACTTCATATCGGTCGGCTACCAGTTCTTAACCACGTGCCTCCCCACCAAGACCGTTGCCGGGTCGCCCCTCAACGGGCTGCCGCTCGCGACCCTACCCACAGGCTGGGGCATCGACCGTTTCCCGTGCACGAAAGTTAGCCCGCTGGACTGCTTCCAGGAGGGGGGGCTGGATTACCCGGGGGCTCTCAGGCTGTTGGAGCAGCGCGGGGCGGGGCCGACTGTGCCGCTGTCGCTGGTGGACATCGTGTTTGCGCACCCGGGCAAGGCGGCGTGCATCCAGGACTTTGCGACCAAGGTGAGGCAGTGGGCGGATGGACAGGCGGGGTCTGCTTGGGTGCGGTGACGTTGGGACTGGCGAGAGGCGGTTTGATGAGGCGGCTTGAAAGGGTGCTGTTGCTGTAAGCAGCTTGGACGGTACAGCCAGGAGCGAAAGCGCAGCGAATGGTATCTCTGGCAAGCCGGAGCTTAATTCGTCTAAATTAATTTGACATTAAGCTTGTGAGGTTTGAGCACCGGGTGTTGTCGTGACCGCTCTCTTGAGTATCGGTCTCGTGGGGTCCTTTGACTTCCGATTCTCAGATTTGAAGCCGACACCACGCGGTAACAAGCGATTGCCGGTCGATCCGTTTCTTTGAACCAGTCCGCTTATCTGCTGTGCTTGCGTAGCTTCACATAGACACAAACTTTTCTTTCTGCTGCCACAAAGTTCCAGTTCTCCAAAGTGCCACTTCCGTGCGGCTGAGCATTTGCGCCTTGGCCTGCAGGTCCAAACCGACCTGACTGCGGCCTTGGGCCCGGCAGGCGCCGCGAGGGCGACCATCACGGCCGCGCAGGTCGCCAAAGCGCTGAACGACACCACGCTACTCTTCAGCTCATGGGGCTACAGGTGGCGCCCCTCGTTCCGGACCATGACGGATGCGCAGGTGAGGCGCAGTCAGAAGTTGCATTCTTTGGCCGAAGTTGCATTATCTGGCAGGAGTACCGAATTTCCAACCATTTCGCCTAAGTTCCGAACGTATCAAAGCTGAAGGATTGGGTGGTCGGCTGTGAGAGCAAGACCTGCACCGGATCTACACCTGGAAGGATCAGAGTCGAGACGGTTTTCGGAAGTGGGCCATGCGTCTGCACTGGAGAGCCTGGGAACGTGAAGGAGCTTTGCGTTGAAGCGGGAGCGCACTTCTGGAAGCGTTGACACAGCAACCGCACACTGTACTGACAACAATCTCGCTTCTCTAGATCTTGGCGCACCTGAATACTGCATACGCCAACGGCGTCGCGGGCGTGACGGTGAGCCAGTGCATCCAGGGCAACAGGCCGTGCTGCCTCGGCTGGGAAGCCACGCACCTGCCGCTCACCGTCGGACTCGGAGGCATCAAGCGGAACGCGACAGGAGCGTTCGAGGAAGTGAGTACAGAACTCATCCCGTCAATGATCGGACGAGAATGTTGCAACCTTTTCTGCCAGCTGGACTGGCCTTCATTTTGAATCCTGGAACCTGGAATTGTAACGGAGATTTGGGCCTTGACTGCGGCTGTGTTGTGAAAAAGAAGACGGTTGTTGCCAACGTGATTGGCTTGCTTCACCCGCATTGGATTTGTTGAGTCACTTGACTGCCTAACGGCTGCCTGCCGATCTTCACGCCGGTCAGTGTATAGGGATGATGATGAGATCACCACTTGGAGTTGACAATCCTTGTCGTCTTGGCTTTGAAAGGTGCCACGTGTGCGTTGTTGGCTGCCTATAACACTTGCATCACGCAGAAGAGAGGCTTTGGCACCGCACGCTTGCCTTTGCCGGTTTCGTTCTGGCTTGTTTACCTCGTAAGCCAAGCCGTCATTCGCGCAAGCAAAGTTGGTTTCTTGTACTCTCCGTGATAAGTACGCCGGAAAATCCCCCCCCAGATCGCGAGCATCCGTGTGGTTGCCAACAACTTCAACCCGGAGCACCCCCAGTGGATCGACCAAATGAACGCCAAGTTCGGCCGGGCTACCTCTGCCAAGGAGCGGCGCAGCCTGGTTGAGAACTGGGACGAACGGCTGGTTGACACGTGGAAGCCCATGTACGAGGGGGCGCAGGGCTCGGGCTTCGCACCCGGGGAAATTTTCAATGGGTCCACTGTGGGCTTCACAACTTGGGTGAGTAGTGGAAGACGTGAACTTGTGTTGCCGGGATATTTCGAGTTCGGCCCTTTGCACCTGAACAGCTTTCTTCAGCAGAGTCCTGTACCACAGGTGAAGTTGGTAACCGTGTAAGCTGTTGGTAGAAAAGTAGCCACATCCTTTGGCCCAACGATTGGGATCATGCCTGACGAAGGGAGTCTCTTGTAGGGCAAGTCTTACATCCCATGCTGCACAAGAGGGTCTGAGAACGTCTTCATTGGGTGTTAATGCACGTGAAGAGCGGGTTACGGAAGCGAACCGCTCTCTTTACATGTTAGCAGATTTTGGCATACTCTGCGCATTTGTTTCTGCGGTGGAGTTCTCCGGTCAGAGCGTGACTCTGTCTCGAACCCCTTCGCTCCTCTCTTTCCGTCTACACTGCGGTTCAGAATGTGCTCAAGGACGCGTGTCCTATATGCGAAGGTTGGCATCTCATCGCGGTAGATCCCTTGAAATCACGGTCCTCAAAGGGTGACATCACCCTAAACCCCTCCACTTCTCTATTCCCGTCCCGTCCGAAGGTTCAAAAACCTGTTTAAGGACCTGGGCAAGATGATTAAAGGAGAGTCTTGTGCTGCTTGATGCGTGCTGACATAATGCTGACTCCTTGCTTTTCCCTCCAGACTGCGGTGGAGAACGTGCTCAAGGATGCGGGCCATTTGGACCCGTGGACTGTTGCGCCCGCAGTCATTCTGGTGATCCTGTACATCATTGCGGCGACCATCAACGTCTTCCGCCCCGTGCACTCCCACGTGCACCTCGGCCTCGCGGTGAGCACGCCTGCACTGTTTTTTCCTGTTTCCCTTTTGTAGGTCCAAAGCTAAGTCTTAGGGCATGCGCCTCATTTGTTGAAGCGATAGTTGAGGCGGAGTCGTGTACTTCATAGCGGCGACAATCAACGTCTTTCGGCTGGTGCACTCTCATGTGCACCTCGGCCTTGTAGTGAGCGCGCCTGCCCTCCTTTTTGTTTCCCTTTTCTAGGTTGGATATTATAAGTCTGAAAAGACGCGCCTCGTTTTCTGGAGCAAAAGTTTGAGGCGAAGTTTTGTAGGTCATAGCGGCGACCATCAACGTCTTCCGTCCGGTGCACTCCTACGTGCACCTCGGCTTCGCAGCGAGCGCGCCTGCGCTCCGTTCTTGTGTCTTGTTTACGTTGAAAAACATTAGATGGCTGTTAGACTCTATCTTTAGGTTGAGCTCTGAGTTCTGTACGGTAATCATCAACGTCTTCTCGCTCTCCTGAAGTGTCCAAGTATGTTTCAAAGAGGGCGGACGTTGGGAATGAGTGACACATGCAACCGTCTCGGCTTTCTCTGCTCCTTCATCAAATTTTAAAACCCGCAAGCGGTAGGCGTACTGGCCACGTCGCTGAATCAGTCTCACAACGTTTTTGAAGCAGAAGGCCTCAGTAGAGGAGCAACTCTGATGAGGCAAACGCTAGATGACGCCAGTGAAGCGCAAAAATGCCAAAATCTGAAATCCGCGCTTCTTTCAAACGTTTCCGTTTGGTGCCTCCGAGACTTACTTTTCTGTCGCTCTTCTCTTCTCAGGGGCTTGGTATTATCTCTGTGTCCATCATTGCGGGCGTCGGACTTACTGCCGGGTTTGGCGTGAAGCTCTCCCCCTTGGCGCAGACAGTGGCGCCTCTTCTGGCTCTTGGCATTGGTGAGTCCTGGCACCCTAACAATGAAGAGGGCAGTCTACTTTTTAGAAGATATATGCAAGTGATGTCGCAGGTTCCTCGTTTGTCAGGCCTTGCACAGAGAACTGCACACTGCAGCTTCGGTCGATGTTCAATCGATCGTGGTGATCCGTATCCAAGTAAGCTCCTTCATGTCTTCTGGAAAGCCGTCCTTTTTGTCCAAATTTGGATGTCAAACTGGTGATAGGATTTGCGAATTTCGAAATCGAAGCGATTGGAAGCTCTGCTTGCTCTGCTCAGCTGACATTGCGGCGCTAGGGTGGATCCAGGCTTCAACTGTATGTCCTTGCTGGGCAAGGCGCTCAAGAACTGTGTTCTAGAGGTCCTCTCCCAAGTGCGATCTGAGCAAAAACACCTTTGTCCGGCTTTGCTGACGTCACTGCTCCCTCGCGCCTGCAGGGTTCAACGACATGTTCGTGCTGGGCAAGGCCCTCAAGAACTTCGTGCGCCAGCGCGCGGGCCGCTCCTTCGAGGACGAGATGCGCCTCACGGTCGGCCTGGCGGGGCCCTCCGTCTGCCTTACCATGCTCTCCATCGCCGCCTCCTTTGGCATCGCCGCCGCCGTAAGCCCGCACCGTTTATTTTGCCCCGCATGACTTTGGCGTTTTTAAAAGCTTCGCATCTTACCTGTCTGCTTCGAGTCTGCTGAGTTGGTTCAGTTGCATCGCTCTTCTCCTTCTCGGAAGTTTGCTTGCAGGGGCGTTGCTTCTTTCCTGAACCTGCACGCCTTGACTTTAGGATCCCATAAGGAGCTCTCTCAGAACGGTGACCGGGTCTTCGCCTGATGAGTGGACTTTGCCACTGAAACTCTGCCTCTTGGAGTCGGAACAAACTCCCTACCGTCAGTGGATAGAACGTGTCTCCTATAATCGCTTTCATCCTGGCCTTCATGCTTTCCTTCCTTGCATCCATCCTTGACTTTCTTGAACCCCAGAAAGAGTTTGGGCTCTCAAAAGTCTTCTGGCCGCATTTGCGTTTCACTCTTCTTACAAGAGCATCTCGACGTGACTTGCGATTTTGGACTCCCTGCCTCCCGTTTCATTCCATGTATAGGAAAAATCTGCTGACGTCAGCGGCTTTGCCTCGCTGTGTGCTCTCGTGTATGGAGCAATCCTGCTGACGTCAGCGGCTTGCGTGGCTGTGCAGTCGCCGTACCCTGGCGTGTCCTGGTTCTGCATCCAGATGTGCATCACCATCCTGCTGGAGCTGGTCGGCCTGCTGCTCCTCTTCGTGCCGCTCATGGGGCTCGACGCACGGCGAGCGAAGGTGAGCCCTTTCCCGCTGATTGCAAGTTCTGAGGCTCCACTTTCGGAAAAAGGCTTGGGGGCACTTGCCCTGCAAAAGCTCTCAGAAAATGTTACGAAGACATAAGGGCAAACGATTTGATCTAGCAGGTACATCGAGGTCTGCTGAAAGTTTCCAAAGTTCATGAAAGATTTTCTCGGCACTCAAGGTGCAGAGATTGATAGAGGTACGATATTTAAGTCCGTCGTGGAGCCCCACTTCCTGCGGCACTTCCGAAGAGAATGTTTCCGCTTAGGCTTTGCACATATGCAGAAACTGTGAAGAAAAATCTGCCGAAGTCACTCCCAACGTTTGTTGTGGTCCTGAAGAGCGGACAACTTCTCACATTAGCAGCGGGATGTACCCGCCAGATAGGGGAGTCTAGGGAGGGGAGCTAGTTGTACAATCTGCATCACCTGCGGTAGGCTAGTGTGCTGGGTTTTCGGCAGATCTTAGACCGAGTGACTGTCGCGCATAGCTGCTGACAAGAAGCCTTCACCAAAAAGACTTCAAACAAGACGCAATGCTCGCAGCTTTCCTTTGTCCTGATTATCCGGTTCGAAGACAGTGTCCTCAGTCCAAGTCGTTCTTTGGGCAGGCTGGCAAGGTGGACCCGTTCCTGCGCTTCGTTCCGCTGCACCTCCTGGTGGGCGGCGGCCGGAACTCCGCTCCGGCGGACGCGACTCCCAATGACGACCTGGAAGTAGCCAAGGGCGCGCTCGCCAAGCCCCCCAAGGCGGAAATCGACGCCGGCGGTTGGATTCCGCGCCTCGTACGAAAGACCTATGCGCCGCTGTTTGACAGCAAGCTCTTCGCTCTCGCAGTGGTGGGCTTTCTCTGCAACGTACTCTGTTTCTTTCTCTTGTTTCTGTGAGGTTCATAACTGTTGATCTGTGTTGGACTGAAAAGCGTTATCGACGCTGGCGGCTCGAATTCGCGTCTCGTGCGCAAGCGCTGATGCGCTCGCAGAGGTGGGGCCTCCTGTCACTATTGTCAGTAACTTCGTTTTCTTCGAATGGTTTGTGTGTGCTTGACAAATTCGACCTCATTGGAATTGGTGCGCCGCTGACATGCCATAAGTTTTCTGCGAGGTAAGGTTATCTACAGTGCATCTAGCTCAGTACCACCGTTTCTGGCAATGGCAAGCGTCTGGTGGTGTCCCTTCTGAGCAGCCTCCTCGAATAGTGGATGAGTGAAAGGACTCAACTTCGCCGCAAACCACATCCCTCGGGCCTGTCGTACAGGAATCGTCCACCATGCTCGAATTGCTTTCAGGATTGACTCAGTGTTCCTTGTCTGTGTGCCAGGTGGCGTTCGCCGCGGCCTTCTTCGTGGCGATGGCGGTGCTGGCGTTCACGCAGTCGGAGAGCGACCTGCTGCTTACTGACGTCACGCGCCGCGGCACCTTCCAGCACGACTACGCACACAAGTCGCACGACGACTTTGAGTCCTGGGACGTCGTAAGTGCAGCCCGGTTAAATGCGCTCGAAGTTTCTTGATTCTGAGTCTGAGAGGCTTCTGTAACTGAGATCAGGGCGGCGTGTGCTTACGATGGTTCAGATGCTTTACCAATGAAAGCTTCGAGGAAAGCTAACGCTCGTTCTCTTCCAGGAATGAGGGAACTCTTTCTGCAAATACACTCGCTCGCAGCTTTCAACCCTCATCTATTGTAATTTTGATTGACATACTTGGACAGGATCTTTCCTTACTCCCCGATTGGATTCGAGGACTCAAACAGGCATTGAGCTGGAATAAGGGCCTGATTTAGTTGCCCAGACCCATCATCAAACTCCCCCCACAAAAGTTCTCCTCGAACAACAAAACAGACCTTCTAATTCCCTTGCTCTCAGGCGTACATCAACAAGGAGATCGACTATCCCGCACAGCAAGCCAACATTCTGGGCACCATCCAGGCATTCCAGCGCAGCCCGTGGGTGGAACAAACACTGAAAATCTTCGAGACGGCGTGGCTGGCCGCCAGTCCCAAGAGCGTTCTCTTCAACGCGCAAAACGCGGGCCTGGTACCCACCGCTTTTACCCCGCTCCCCGCGGCCGCCTTCTACCCGTTCTTCCAGCAAGACTACGTGCAGCGCGGGGCGCAGTCGATCCTGCAGTCGTACCACTGCAAGAACCTGACGACGCAGACGCACGTGGATTGTCGCCGGATGGACGCGAACACGAGGCTCGACGCCACTGCAATGACGGTGAGTATGGGAACTTACAAAGATTGAAGGCAAGACATTATTAAGGTTACTGAGTTATTCAAACGGGTAGGGTTGGTTTGCGGGCTGTGATTCGTGTGTAGATTGGGTTTTAATACCAGTCAGAGGTTCACTTCTCCTTCTACATAGCCTTTTGAAATTTGTGAAGGGGAGCGTGAGGCGTCGACTCTGGTCCCTTGGTTGCTCAGCAAATCTGAACCATTTGCCTATTGGACTTTGATCCAACAACTTGAGCATGCGAATACCCCGGCTAAGCTTGCTTCAGACGGATGAACCATGGCGATACACCTGCTACGGGCGCTCTGCAAAGGATTGGAGAAGTTCCCCCGGAAACCGGCTTGGATTCCCCAGTCCTGCAAGTGGTAGTCGTTGGAGAGGAGAGGCGCTGATGTTGATGTACCAGGCTACTTGGGCGAGGTTGTCTACGAATGCGTTGTGTTTTGTACGCGCCAAGCCTTGGGAATGTCCGCTTCGCACATCAAGATACAACTCTGATTCTGGATCCTAAACCAAAGTTAGACTTTCTTCTTATGTTCCCGCTATGTACCGGCCTTCAAAGATGACTCAAATCCATAGCCAAACAGGGTCTCCTGGGGACCAGCTGCGCCCCTCTGACGTGGCGCGCTCTTTCTCGTCCGCAGATCTACGTGAACGGCCTGACTAGCACGGACAGGTATCGGACCGCGCTGCGCGACCTGCGCGCGATTGCTGATGCGCGAAGCGCGCAGTCGGGCAACACCGGGGGCTTTGTGTACGGCTACATCGCCGTGCTGTATGACCAGTTCGAGCACATTGAGCGCCAGACCTTCTTCATCGTCGGACTCACGCTCGGTCAGTTCCCTCGTCGTCTCGTGTTTTCAACGTGTGTGCTTCTTCTCTCTTCATAGAGAAGAGGGAGGAATCATATTGGTAGAGGCGCCTCTGTTGTTCGCAGTTGTTTCTAACAGAAAGCTTTGAGTCAAAAGTATTTCTGCTTCGCAGGAATGTTCTTTTTGTAATATTTAAAGGTTGTCGGCCAACAGGTGTTGCGCTTCAAAACCCGCATTATAGTCCGTGTACTTTTCTGATCTTCCGCATGTATCATCCGGCATGCAACTTTGTCCACTGAGACAAAAAGTGCGCGCAACTCCTCGCAGCTGCTACCTATAGCCCACCCTCCTTGCTGAAGCGCCCCCCTCAGCTTGGTTTGGTGCGTACATATTCTTGATAAGCTCGGAACTTCCGATCAAACTCTTGATACCCACGCCTTCACCTGTATCGTCCCCGTTCTCCCCCCTAACCCAAATTACCCTACCCGTCCTAAGCTGGCAATCTTGCTCTTCCCTAGAGCTTACCATCGCTGACTGTGTTTCCTGCAGTGGGCGTGTTTGTGACGAGCGTCCTGTTCCAGTGGAGCCTGCTGCTGTCGCTTCTGGTGACGGCGCTCCTGCTGGTGATCGACATCGAGTTGTACGGCTTCTTCTGGATCATGACCGGCAAGCTCAACGCGTTGACCCTCGTCAACCTCGCCGTCGCGGTGAGCCGCCGTTCTGTGCATTTCGCCGCTTTGCTTCGCACCGCTTTAACTTTTTACAAGAAGAGTGGATTTTTGTTGTTGTTTTCTCCATGTAATGAGAATTGTGCGAGAGTACTGGAAACAAATTCGGGGGGGGGCAAACGTGGAAGCCGGATCGAAACAAAGGGAAGCATAGCTTGTATACCGTACTCTCGCTTGAGCTGCGCTCGAATTCACTGGGCTTCTATCTGAAGCGCCCGTTGCTTTTCTCGCCCACGCCTATGTGTCTATTACTACTCTCAGCAGGTTGGCATAGTGCTGGAGTACACTCTCCCTTGTCGCGCAACTACCTGCTGTTTGAAGCGCTCTTAGCCATTACGCATGTTGACTCTCTGCAGGTCGGCCTAGCGACGGGATATGCATTCCACCTGTCTCCCGCTTTCCGTGCTCCGAATTTCCGCTTTCCGCTCATGTCTTCTTTCATAATTCTCCGCAGTTTAGCCTAGCGACGGGGTCAACATCCCAACTGTCACGCAAGTACCTGAAAGTTTGCAGTGCTGGTCCCGAATCTCTGTTATCACCATCCTTTGCAGGTTGGCCGAACGACAGAATAACCGTTCCACCTGTCTCTCCGCTTTCCGCCCGTCGGCGCTCGCTTTCCGCTTCCCGCTTTCCGCTCTCCGCTCATACTGTTTTCCTCCGGTTTCCGCAGGTTGGCCTAGCGACGGAGTACACGTTCCACCTGTCGCGCAACTATTTGGTGTTTGAGGGAACCCGCCACCACCGCGTGGCCAAGGCGCTCGAGTGGACCCTCGAGCCGCTGCTCCACGGCATGGCCGCCTTCTTCCTCGCCATCTTTGCGCTCGCCTTCGCAAAGTGAGCACACTACAAATTGTGGGGTTTAAGAATAAAGATTTTGTCGGTCGATGGAATTTGTGCAGCTTGATGTGTTCGTTGATTCTAACATTGTTCACTTCCCGTCGCAAGGTCAGGGTTCTGTAGTTGGGGCAGGGAAGGTCATGCGGACTGAACCCATGGTCAACGAAGTGGGTCTCAACGCAAACGCAGCGGTCGAGGAGTCAGATATCATGACATCACCATCCTCGAAAACAAGGACATTTTGTAAGGCGTCTTGATTGTTGAGATCAGCATGGCGGGATATGAATCTTGAGAGCAGCAGGACACTGTCCCTAGATTGTAGAAGTCAACTCTGCTGCCTTTCGCATATAGAAGCAGTGCAGTGCCCACCAGTTTTGAGTTCCCGTTTACACAAAACTCCAGATTAACACTTTGCGTCCGGCAAATTTGCTCCAAACATGGCACTTTTATGTGGTCTGCTGGGACGGAGAGCGATGGTTGTCAGCCTTGCACCACGGGGAGATCCGTCGGGTCAAACCGACATCAGTGCGCTGCCTAAAGGGTCGTTCCTTGTGTACTTTCGACATTGTGACGTCATGCTCACCCCCTCCCTCCGCTCCTGTTCCAGGTACCGTGCCTTCCAGCTGTACTACTTCGGCTTCTTCGCCGTCTTGCTCGTCATCGCCGCCTTCAACGGCTTCGTGCTCCTCCCCGTCATTCTCCGCTTCCTCGGACCGCCCTCCATCTTCAACAACACGGCGAGCGGTATCGCGGCTTCGGCTCCGGCGGACACTGCCGACAAACCAGCCCACCTTGAGATGGAGGGGGGCCGGAAGGCAGCCCCGCCGATCGGCAGCGACCTAGAACGATGAGCGAAAATTGAGAAGCAGTGCCGCACCGCAGTCTCGCGCAGGCTTTAGAAAGTCAAATTTGCAGATTGACAATGGGGAGAGCGAGTGGTCAAGGGGTGTCGAGGAGCAAAGGGGCATACAACTCTAAAAGTTGTTTGTGAAGTGCCCGTCAAAATGTATGCTGTGGTGGATCGACGAGGTGACCAAGAGCTTCGTGGTCAAGTGCTCACCAAGGCAGTATTCAATGCCGTTTCGTAGCGAGGCTCAACAGGTTCCCAAGTTAATAAGGCTCCTCCGAGTCCCAGATTAGCGCGGCTGCTTTGGGGTGCAACAACCTTCAGAGCGGTAATTCAGTTTGTGATTTCAGCTTGGTAGGTCCAGTCCAACTGTAGGTGCTTTATACTAATATGTGACGATCAGATAACTCTTCGAATATAGTCAAATGTATGCTACGTAATGTTGCATTGGGCTCCTCCCTCGATTCCTCGGTAAAGGTCAGGCATCTACGACTGATCGTAAGATCTCTTTTCTGGTCACGTGTGGCTTGTACGTTTTGCCCGTTGATTGATATCCAATGATCATCTCGGTGGACATGTGCCAACTGCACGAAGACCAGCATGTATGGCATTTCAAATGTAAGTCTTCCTTACAAAGTGTCGGAACGGGAGAAGCGTCTCAAGACGTGCATGTTGCTAACTTACGCGTCCGCTAAGGTAAGAAGGTAACGAGGTATTGGCGATCAATACTTTGGACGGCCCACGCTAAGCAGCCCCGCAAACTGTGAAGCTACGCGGCGGCTCGTAAAGCTATCCATGATAAGCTCCGAGTCCCAGATTGTTACCAAGATTTCTTTTGGAGTCCTTGGTCTGGAGAGGACGGTGCAAACCGACTCGATGCGCATGATCTGGAGGAATAGATTCCCTTACAGGGTGGTCCGGATGATCGTTCGGAAGAATCTTTCAGACACACTGCCGGTACTTCTGGAAATTTAGTATTTGTCTTGCTGCTTGGCCCGGTCATGGCGCGGCACGCATGTTGAAACGGACTCATGGATAACTGCATGCATGTATGCGCAAGGAAGATAATGCGACTCATCAGTGAAACAGGTTCCACACACCGTGAGCCTGGCATCGTAATGATGCATCACGTTCGGCCGTTGTTGTAAGACCCTGAGCAGGTTAGTCCGGTCAAAGGGTGGCCGGACTTATTCTTGGTTCGATCATTATGATCGGCCATCAAAACGGGGCGCCAGAAAGCTATTGCCGCGCTGTGAGAAACCTTTCGGTGCCGGCCGCACTGCGCGCATCTTCTTGTTAACTAAGGTCAGAGTCGTAGAACTTCGGTTGGGAACCTTCGGTCCATTCCAGAGCTGAGTGAGCGCTTTCAGGGCCTGCTCCAGACGGGTGACTTGGTAACTCAGACTGCTGACTTAATGTGGGCTGCAGCCGATGCGAAGCGGTGGGCTTCTCACGCGCGCTGTGGCTTTTGCACTAGCGGTGTGGGCGTATCCGCGTATGCCCAACAGAAAATAAGTACTGAAAAGATGGAATTGATAATGGCGCTTTTGCATCGACCGCAGACATCGTTGTAGCGCAGCTGCGGCTAACCACCCCGGGCGCTTCTCTCATATTGCCCCCATATTGCGTATGTGTCATTGGCAGCATCTGTATCTCATGTCTTTTGGGCTGATACTCAACTCGAGCTCATTCCATGCAGATGCATGTCAGCATATGTGCTTGTAAGTTTTGAACGTCAGAAGAAGCTCACAGGATATCAAGAAAGTTCAAGAAGCTAACCGAATTTCACGCAGACCATAAATTAAGTTATGATCACAATCGACTTGTGCACAAGAGAGCAGAATCTGGTGTTGTTCGCCGCAGCTTGGATTATGGAATACTAAGTAGAACTAGCTACGGTAGCAATGGCCTTCTGTACCAACGCCCGGGTGTTCAGCATCTCCGACAAGCACACGCGCCTCGCAATGTGGGATATCTCTAGCTACTGAGAAATTGGTTACACCAAAGCTTATTCCTTGTTTGCGATGCTGACGTCCTCTACATAGTAAAGGAGGTACGGTTCCTGCCAAAGGGACCAGTAGGTGCCGAACTTGACCACTTTTGTGTCCGTTTCCGCTCGGACAATCATTTCAAGGGTCCACATGGACTTATAGTCGTACTCCGGCACAGGAAGCGTCCACGAAACGTCGAACACCTGAGTCGAGGTCAGCAAACAGAAAGGTAAGCTTCGGATGGTCGCAGAAGTTGAACTCATGCAAAAGTTTGGAGGGCTGATTGCAGACGGCTTACAGTGCTGGGAATGTGCGCCACGCGCAACTGAAAGCAACGAAGTCAATTGGGGCGAGACGGATCTGGCAGCTTGACGTCAGCAATGGTATGTGGGGCCGATCCTGCTCGCCGTCGCGTAAACGCTGGCCACGTCGGATTGCCTTTCGACAAAACATGCAAGTTTTTTGAAGCGTGGCGGCAGGTCCGCCTTTTAAAAGACAAAATGCAGAAGACACCTTCGGTTTCTTTGTCTCTTTGAGCTCTGGTCCCAGAACCCTCGGCAAAATACCAGAACGGCGCACTTCTTACCTTGACGGTTGGACTGGGCCCGTTGCCAAACTGCGACGCGAACCATTCCGCCATCGCCTCGGCCCCATTGAGTCCGGGCTGGTTGACTTCGTCCGTCAGATGCCCGGTAGGTTGGAGGTAGGACATGGCAGCGTCCGTGTCTCCGCCGGCGATTGCCGCCAGAAATTCGCTGGTAGCAGCTCGAAAGGATGGCGCCGTTCAGCTGATGGTTGGGCTCCATCTCGAGCGCGAACGCTTCCGTCCGCGTGTCGTCCGTATTATAACCTGTGAGAAAGAAACACAGGATTTTTGTTCTTAGCCATAGATGGTTGAGGGCTGGTTATGGGCTGGTTAGAAACCGACCTTTTTACCAACAACCAAACTTTGGCGGGAACCAGCCTTGGGACCAGATTAAAGCCGGGTTACTTGTCCAATAACCGGTAAGACACAAGTCTGGTAGTAACCTGGTTAGCAGCCATAACTTCTTGTGAAAACCACACATGGCTGTGGAAAGGCACCTTCTGAGGCTCCGAAAACACGGACAGTGGAAGCCTTACAGACTGGGCCGAGTAATGAATTTTAGATGGTAGTTTAGATTCATGACGAATCTACTGACCGTTACAAACTTCTAAGAGTGCAAAGTAGCCAGTATCGGAGCACTGGACCACACGAGCAGCTCCAAAGAGGACGCACGATCGCTGTTGCACGCTGTTTCTGCGTTCTGAAATTGTAAGGATGTCTCAAGTTTGTTTGTTCAGGGTCTGTGGAAGCTCGTGGGTAGAGTCTACAACATCATCTATGTTTATGCGAGGCGTCAGAAAGCCCGGAAAAAACCTTAAATTCCCGGGCCAATGCAAGCATGCAGATGGTCGGAAGCAGCATAGCAGTGGAGCTGAGCATGAGATTTCGACCAGCTCATCTCCAAGAGGTTCGGAAGATCTGAGGAGATTACTGAGCTCGAGCTCATCCTAGTACTTGCACTGCACCACGAAGAGCCATTTTTCATTGTTGTTACAGAGAAAGAGAGTCAGATATGGCAAACAGCTGAGCGGCCTCACCAGGAATCAGAACGGCTCCCCACATCTCGGCCCTAGGGTACGTTTTGGCACACCGCGTAGCTCCTGCCTCGGTCCTGGTTGCCAACGGCAAGAACCCAGTCTCTGTGGGGCAAGCGTGCAAAGTTGGCAGTTGACTGGCTGTGCCGCCTAGGATCCCGACGCCCGGTCTCGCAGTGGGGCTGGCGGTCTCAAAAATCAACGACGCGGGCTTTTGTGTGGAGCTGACTGGAGTGGTTTGAACCTGCTGCAGCGTGCGCGCGGCGGACGCGGGCGCACCAAGTGAGGCGAGGGCGACCAGGATTGCGATTGTCCGAACCGTCTGGAGGGCTGGTGCTTTCTTCATGTTGTTGGGCGCTTGCAGGACGCTGGTTGATTTGGACTGTTTGGAAAGAGAGACACGTGCGGAAGCTGAATGGAAGGCTTTTGCGGGTCTGCTGCAACTGGGCTGTGGACGGGGCTGTGGATTGGCACTGCTGAGATCGAGAGCGCGCGGCGCAGGAAATTTGACAGGAACAGAAGGTACTGCCGAAGAAGCAAATTTTGCAGTAGTCTCTAGAGGACTGTCAGCTACCTAAAGTCCTGAGCTCTAGAAAGGAGGAATGAGGAGGGCTTGGTGACAATGGATATATATTATATAGGTTTTGTGAGAGAACGGATCGCGTCCGGGGCATATGTAATATTGAGAAAGTTACTACTGAATGCATGTAGGAGCTGGCGGCCCAACATGAACTTCGTAATCTCCTT